TCACTCCCACACCCCCAACACTCTGGATTATGTGGTCAAACCGTGCTAGCTATAGCTAATACTTATACTTTGGTATTTTGCTATTTGTTTCCCCATACCAACCAACCCTTACCCTTACCCTTACCCTTACCTTTCACACCTTGTCCCTCTATACATGCTATTATACATGTTATTTTCTCGAATGCTTTGCCCTAGCCATAAATTCAAATCGGTTTAAAAAGATTAATTTTTCTGTATATATAATAGGGTTGAGATTTGGCACACTTTTTACATATATTTTAACACACGTTTTGTGGAGTTCACTCCGTAATCTATCAACGATCAAACCGTCTATCTTTATGTCTTGCTTCAAAGTCATGTTTACCAAAAATCACTCAAATTCAAAATCATATGATTGTTAGATTAAATTTAGTATCAAAATGTGTATTAAAAATGTGTCTCCAGGATCCTAATCTATACATATAATGGAAAATCTTGCTATATATTTGACTGCTCTTTGTCTATTACTCTATTGGCAGATCATCTACTTAGGATTTCATTGCTTATGTTATTTGTAAGCATTTGGATAGTTTTTGTTTGCAAAACACAATCTAAACACATGTTGGAGCATTTATGTATATTATGTGCCATGTATTATATTCTAGTAAATTGATTAAAGTACTGGAATGTAACTGGTTAAGAATAACTAGCAGAGAGCACACACTTTGTGTGTGTGAATAATTTTTCTTAATAAATGCATATTTATCAAAAGTAACGGTAAAATTGGAAAAATAAGTAAATGATTGTAATATTCTTAAAAAAAAAAAAAGGGTAAAATAGAAAAAATAGAGATATGATTGTCATTTTCTCAAAACGTACAAAATTACTATTTTGCCCTCCTCATGTCAATATTGTGTATAAAAAATGAGGGCAAAATAGGAAAAAAGGAGGTAAAAAGTTGACAAGGAGAGTTCTCTTAATATAATAGATATAGATAAAATACAATTGCGCAACATTAGGTTAATGACTATTCAACATCTAGATATATATACACATATGTTAAACTATGACCTTTAAGTTAAGCTTCAAACCTGAATTGAGACTGTAATTATTAAGTTCAAGATAATATAGATGTGACATTGGAGTCTAAACAACTTGAAACCTTAATAAGTGTATCATATAAGATGATTCGAATTGGAGGCATGGCATGCGATTATCAGTCAACACAGAGTAAGCACATGATTAACGTAGAGTAGTTCAAAGAAAACTTTAAAAGATTAGGATTCATTTGAAAGTGTTTTTAAAATGATTGAAAGTGTTTTTAAATAAAATGTTTTTGGGTTCTAAAAGCATTTGAAGTGTTTCCTAGAAGAAACATCAATTATGTGCTTTTTGTAGGAAGAATTTCAAGTGCTTTTCTAAATATTCACTTGCGTATTTACTAAGAATTAATTCCAAAATATTTTCATTAAAAACACTTTTAATTATTTTAAAAGCACTTCGAGAACTTTTAAATGACGAAGCAAAACCCAAAATATTTGTGGGATTTACCTTTAAACATGAAAGGCCAAATTATACAATATCATGCATATGGTCATGCGGATGTCCCAAGGTAACCCATGTAGTGAACTACGTGTTAAATAATACCCACGTCGTGTAGTGATTTTATACAAATTCTATCCAACTATGGCGAGGGAAAAAAATTACTCACGAAATCACTTTTATCGACCATATGTGAGCCCAATATGCAAGCGCAACTTTAAGACAAAGCTTAGGACCAATATTTCAATTTTAAGTCAGACTGACAAACAGTCTCCAAGATGAGTACAAGTAACACTTTCTCTTTTTCTTTCTCTTTTTCTTTTTCTTTTTTTTTTTCTTTCTTTTTTTTTTTTTTTCATAAAAATAGGTCATTTTGAGAGACCATTATGACCACAAATATAAACACGTAAACATATTGCTCGTTATATTTCTAAAATCTTTGTCACTGGATAAATTCGTTAATTTCACACAATTCTTCCGTTCATGCTTTTTTCCTCTTTACTTTCTATATTCCCATACACAATGATGGAGATGGAGTATTTGGGATCAGCATAATTCTAAAAGTATGAAATCAACTGGTTTCACATTGGGAGAACAATATCCGGAGCAACAACCCTAACAGTTTTTAGAAGATATGTTGAGAACAGATTTTAGCACAGGTGTATCCTATATGTACTGTAGTTTATTTAAAGTATTCCAATGATAAACGGTGTAACACGGTCGACTTAGTTAAGAACTCTGTTGCTCAAATAAGAATAGAAATATTCTTGTCGGTTTAAATCGTCAAACAATTAGTAATCATATATATCTTTCTTGGTCATTCTAACTTTTTCTGTCACTTCAAAGACCTTGAAAATAAAGGGCTATCACAGTGCTTCTAAAGTAACTTTGTCATTGTTCGGCTATTGGTTTATGCTGTAATTGTAATTCCACGTATGACTACGAGTGTGTCTTGAGGTAACTACTAATCTAGACCAATCAAACCATCAATTTATGACGTTGGAGTTACATAATCGTCAATTATCTATAATATTATGAAATTTGGGCTCACCTTGAAAGTTAAACTGTGGGATCGATCTTTTTTTTTTTCCTACTTTCTTATTATTCCAATATTTAGACTTAAGGTTGTGCATCTTTCTTCTTTATACATTCATGAGATTCTAAACTCCACTATTGTAAAGTAGATATTGAGAAATACTTAGCCAAGTAATGACTGGTTTGATATTGCTGAAATTATTTTAAAAGTAGTTTATTTTTTCAAAAAGCAAGGGTTAAAATTATGTTTGGTAAATAAAAAAAAAAGCGTTTTTTGTCAAAATCATAGGTCCAAAACAGCAGAAAGCAGAAGTAGCTCTACCCCTACTTTTAAAAGTAGTGTTTTCCTTTTTTTCACATCACAGCAACCTCAAACTAGCTCCAAATAATTTTTGGTTTTGTTTCTTTTCTGTTTTAGTGGGCTACTGATATGGTTAATGTTACCCTAAGCCAAAGCCAAGTACACGCCCCGGCCAATTGAAACCTTCAATGGTCTTACTCAAAAGATTGAAAAATATTACCTAATAAAGGCACTCACTAAGTACAAACTAAGAACATTATCGAAAGTTATTGAAAGTTCTCCAAATTCTTTTATATGAATTTGGGGTGGCAAATGATGTTACATTATCTAAAAACAAATGAGATAGCACTAATATAGTGTTTTTTTCCCAATATAGTAAGATCTCAAGTTTGATTGTCTTAATTTTTTTTTTCCTTGTGACAGATAAGGTTTGACTGTTATGTGATTGTTTTAACATATTACTTTACACGATAACCAGTTACAACACGTAAATCATTGTAGTAAAACAGAGATAAGAGAGTGCATTTTTGTTCACTATCATTTAATGTGGTGTATGCTCACCATCCTATTTATCACTGTTAGATAAGTTTGAATTTTGAGATTTGTGCTGATCTATTACACGAATTTTAAAATTCAAACTTATCTAACAGTAATAAATAAGATGATGAACATACACTACACTAAATGGTAGTCTCGAGATAAGAAAGGTCGTCTACCAAAATCATGTCATGTGTGAGAAAGACGCAATCAACGTGTGAAACCATCAGTAAACATCCAAGAAGGGAAGATAAGTTTTAGAGAAAGAGACCCGAAAGCAGCGGGGGAATAGACACTTGTCATTACAAAAGCAAGTGGACAGTGGCCAAATAAAAATGTCAAGGTTTAAACGAATTAGAAGATAAAGATGGACTCCGCAGACCAATGGTGCATGTGGGTCATGAAAAATTGAAGCACGCCCTCTCTCTCTCTCTCTCTCTCTCTCTCTCTCTCTCTTGCCAATGTAATCACACGAGAGCTCAATTTTAATGTGACAGCTGCATATGCTTGCCTCCTCTCTTCTTCTTTTTTTCCTTCTTTTTTTTTTTTAAATATCAGAGGTGACTTGGTCACGACAATCTATCATTTCGAAAACCGGAAAGACTTATAAAGACATTTCAATCCTTCGCTACCATCGTGCGGTTCACCAGCATTAAGAATCGAACTCAAAAGATGCAGTGTAGAATACGAGTCAGAAATTGACCCCCAACCACTGAACCACTCAGTAGTCATTGTTTGCCTCCTCCTCTTCGAATTACACTTGTGCTGACAACATTAGTAGATTCGATGGGGTTCAAGTTGATAAGAAGAAAAGAAAACAACAAGTGAGACTTGGAGACAAAATGGTCCCATTATATATGGCAGCTGGTTCTCAACGTTTACGATTTACTAACTTTTATTACAAATTAAGACTAATTCGACCAATTTATTTTCTAAACTTATACCACTTTCCTAAGTTTTACCTTGAACTTCTATTTCTGCTAATTATTCATCTAAACCTTAATAAATATTACCTCTTCGATTACGAAACAACATCAAAACTTTGTCCAAGTATGATCCCAATTTTCCCTCATTCAAAAGTAAATACCATTTTTTTCTTCACTAAAACCCAGAACCTAATTCTCCTTGGAGCAAGTCTAAATATTGACTTTTTTACCGCAAGGACTCATCTATGGCAGGTATTAAACTACGTGTTTACCTTTTTAAGTAGTTCACACAAATATAAACGAAAAGAATGGATTTGAAAAATTTGACGCACAGTAGGAAGTTAATAATTATTTATAAAAATTCTGAGGATAATTGGTCAAAACAAAAATTTATAGTAGAAATTGACAATAACTTCTATCATAAACACAATTTTTTGTAATTCATCTGAAGAAAGTTAAGATTTCACTATAAAACCAATTAATAAAATAAGAAATAACTCAATTAATTATAAGCACATAAAAAACTATTCATTTCTCCGATATAAGATTGATACTCTCAACGTTGTCAACGTAATCTTTTACGAAGGAATCACAGATCTTTGAGAGCCAAGGTCTGTCCTTAATTCAAACCAATTTTGAGAGAGAGAGAGGGAAAGAGGTTTTTAGAGAGAGAAAGATGGGGTGTGGGGACCATTCCACCGCCCAGAAGCACGCATAGACCTACTCTTACCGAAACCAAACCCATATCCATCTCCCCTCTATTTCTCATCTCAATCTAACCCTAACCCAACACCCTCCTCACGATCCTTCAAAGACCAAGACCTCCCCATCCCCATACCTATTTTCTCTCCTCATCTCCTCCTCCTCCTCCTCCTCAACACAAAATTAACCTTAATTTCCCTGTACCCTCAACAGTCAAGGCTGAAGAAGCAGCAGCATGCCAAATCAGCTCCGATTTTGTGGGTGGCACCAGAAATCTGCTCAGCAACTCCATCCTTTCCGCTCAATCATGGTTCACTTGACAAGGTAAACAACTAAAAGCAACCCCAAAAGAGAGACAGCCCAAGTCTTCCTTTACCTTTTCTTTGCTAGCTCCTCATCCCACTTTCTCTCTATCCTTTTGAATTTGTCTACTCAACACAACCTTTTAGCTCTTGCTCTAGCTAGGTAGCCAGCACTCATTTCTATTCTCAATTTCTTGCTACTTTCTTGGTTCTGTGCTTTTGGAGGGAAAGAATAAGGTTGTTTTGTTTTCTAAGTAGTGAAAATTTAAACCTAACGATATGAACACCCATTCCCTTCCCCCTCCTTTCCATTCGAGAGATTTCCACCTGCATCACCAGCAGCAGCATCCTCAGTTCCTCCACCAGCAACAGAATTCCGAAGACGAGCAAACAGGAAGCAGTGGCCTTAACAAAGGACAGAAGAGAGAGCGGGATATCGACAACGACAGCGGTGGCAATGGAGGCGAATTAGGCAAAGAGCTCAATGTCACCATGTCCGGTGGTGATGGATCAGAAATGACGAGAAGGCCCCGAGGGAGACCTGCCGGATCCAAGAACAAGCCTAAGCCCCCCATCATCATCACCCGGGACAGCGCCAATGCGCTCCGCTCCCACGTCATGGAGATTGCCGACGGGTGTGACATAGTGGAGAGTGTCGCCACCTTTGCTCGCAGGCGCCAGAGAGGCGTCTGCATTATGAGCGGGACCGGCACAGTCACGAATGTGACCCTCAGGCAGCCCGCCTCCCCAGGCTCCATAGTGACCTTGCACGGTCGATTCGAGATCTTGTCACTGGCGGGATCATTTCTTCCCCCACCAGCCCCGCCTGCCGCGACTGGCTTGACCATATATCTGGCAGGAGGGCAAGGGCAAGTAGTAGGGGGAAGCGTTGTGGGGACGCTAATTGCATCTGGCCCCGTTGTCATCATGGCAGCTTCGTTTAGCAACGCGGCATATGAGCGGCTTCCACTAGAGGAAGACGAGGGTCAACTGCCAATGCAAGGTGGAGGTGGAAGTGTTGGTTCTCCAACCGGAGCTGGTCATCAGAACCAGCAGCAACAACTTTTGGCTGAAGCTGCGAACTCAAATGCACCTCTTTTTCATGGGTTGCCTTCCAATCTTCTGAATTCCATGCAATTGCCAGCCGAGGCAGCGTACTGGGCGACCGGCCGCCCGGCATTCTAACCACCGGACCAGCCCTTGGATCAACAGGAGAGTTCATTTGCTTTGTCATCATCACCTACGTATGTTATACCAAGATGTGTCATCACCGACTATGTAGCTAGGTAGTGCCTAGCTATATGGATCCAAGAAGAATTTGGGTTTGTGGTCGATCAGCATTTCAGATTTTTAGTATGTTTTCCTTCTTTTTTCGAGTTGGTTTTTAGCATTAATTAATATTCGATGATTAGATTACGGACATGTTTGATTGAAAGACTGTATATTTCATGGATTATTCTTGGTGAGTTTTTGTCTAGTGAAATGTACTATTGCCAGAGCTTTGTTTAATATGAAGAGGAACAACATCCAAGAAGAACAATCTATTTTCAAGATAGCTTGTTATTTTAGTTAATCTCTACTATGAATAGGAAAAGGCTGTTCAAACCAAACCCTTATGCGTTTTTTAGTACTTTTTTTGTAACAAGAATTAAGTTCAAACATGTTCATCAATCTCTTCTTTGTTAAAAACCTTTTGAATTCTCTTATAGTTAACCTATATTTTAGGTGGTTTTGTGATATCTCATGATAATTACAATACTTATATACTGATATATAGAGTACTCATTATTTTTGGGAATTGTTATTGGCACTCCAAAAATTTCATTCTACACTACAAACTTTCTATATTTGGAAATAAAAATACACTTGTGTGGAGTGTAGAATGAGATTTTTGGAGTGCTAATAACACTTCCCTTATTTTTTATAGAAACTAGAGAATTTGAACTTAAAATATTTTCTAACAAAGTACAAAGAAGCATCACTAAACCTGTATTTACTTGGTAATCGAAGCCGCATGATTAATATTTTGGGTTTGAAACTTTGATATTTGAAAGGAATGGCCAATTACATAGGAGAAGGCCAGGAGAAACGAGGAGGTATGGGCTCCTTAGAGTTTCCATGTGTTTCTTCTTTCCCTTGTTTTAGAAAGAGATTTTATCAGAAATATTTAGGGATATGGAGACATGAAAATATTTTGGTACTGGTTTACACGTGCACTGCAAGCTCCTTTTCGAGGCAAACATCTACAACACTACTCTTCCATTAAACGCCCACAACTAGCTCTCTCTCTCTCTCTCTCTCTGGTTCAGAGAATAAGGATTGGGCAAGCAGCTGCAGCTCATGGCTGCTGTACTTCTCGAACTTGCTCTCTTACAACTTTGCTCTTGCTTTTCCCCAAGCTTTAGAAGCTTATTAGACTTGTCCATTCTTTGTTGGAGTCAGCTGCTTCTTCAAGTCACTTTGAACTTTAAATTTTCTTTATCATCTGTGATTACCTTGCAACATGTGTTGAGCCAACAACAGATTCTAAGAAACACTAATGTAGTTTAACATGTTATTTTATCTAACAGTAATCAAAACCTTAATTACTATAACTTTACCTACTAAAAAATCATGAGTAATTACTGAGGAGTGATTTTAACACACCTTTACTCGTCATGCACAATCTTATTTATTTTTGGCATTAGATTGATAAGTTAAAGGTGAATAACGAATGTACATAGACAAGAATGTGTAGAAAGAGAAAAATGATGAGCATAAGTCATTTCTCTAATCATTAACCGTGGAACAATGCTATTTAGTAAGAGAAATTACTAGCCTTGTACATTGCTGGAGTTCGCTTAGTTAATGTTATTCTATGACTATGATTACTTTTCATCAAGTGTTGAGCCAACATGATCTATTGGTAAACTCTACTCTTATTTGAGTTCACTAATTAACTTTATATTTTTTAAAACTATTAATTAAATTGGGTAAAAAGACCATAGATAGAAGACTTGCATATTACTTAAGCCGAATTTGAACCATATTATTATGGCTCGCTCACAAGAGACTTAGCCTACTCCTCCATCTCCTTAGTGTAGATAATATCGTTTATCCAAGAAAAAAAAAAAAAACTTGAAACTATAAGATAGTCTTTCTGTCTACAAACACCACAAACCCTAATCTAAACTCAAACCAACAATCCTCTCTTACACGTATTGTTGATCATAGCTTCTTTCTCGTAACAAAGGATACCATCACCATCATCTTTTTCTCCATATATCTAAGTGCAAGCTCTTTAATTTTTACAGATCATGAACAGGTAAAATTGTCATTCGGAAGTCGTCAAAAGAAATGATTTTTAATTCCATTTTATTTATAACGTTCTGCTATTCTAGAGTCACTTCCGACCAGGTTATTCCCAAAATTATTTGGTGCCTAATTGGTCGACAATATGTGTAAACCGATCCATCATTTGCTTTTCTCCTCAATAATTCCCAACCTACAACATCAAAATAGATATTGTTGCCATATTTCGGTTTAGTAGTTCTTGAGCATCATTTCAACAAATTCATGCAATTATTTATTACTTAAGTTTTTGAGCGGTAAAAACAAATAGAAAATTTTTATATCATCCAAGTTTTAATCAGAACAAGTTTTTGAGCCGGTAGCTATGCCTGTCGCTTGGAAAATTTCATAGTACTGTAGAGATCCTAGCTGCTCGACAGGGCCTTCGACTGGAATCTCAATGTAATTGGATGCAAGTTATTATGGTGGTTCAAGCTATTGGCAACCTCAATTGTGATTCCTCTTCCAATGGATTATTGATTGAGGATACCATACCAAGTGTGGTTTACGGGATTGTAATTCTGTTAGAGTTCACCATGTTCGTCAATTCGCTAATTGTGAGGCACATAGAATGGCCAAGTTGACCTTAATCTCCAATTTTTCTAGTTGTTGATTTGAGTAACCTCCTAATCTTCTTCGGGATGCTGTTTTAAGATGGTACGCTTTTTAAATATTATGAATAAAATCAACTATTGTTTATTCTTAAAAAAAAAAAAAAAAATATATATATATATATATATATATATATCGTATTTTATGTTGTGCGAGATGAATTAATAAATCAAATTCACTTTTAGTTGTACTTTTGTTTTTAATTTTTCTATGAAAACAAAAACCTTGCATGCATGATCAAGCCAACAATGAGATGTTCGGGTAATTATCATCATGATTCCTGATAATTTAGAGCAATGATCTTGTGCAATAACAAAGTAGAAAGATATCTCTAAAAGTTTAACTTGTAACTTTTTTAGTGTACCAGTAACACTTCATGCATAAATGTCACAAGTACCGGGACATAAAATTGTCATTCCTATGGAGAGAGGATCCTTGCCAAATCTTCTAATCACATCCGTTCATCGTACATTGTACGATCAGTTTTTGTTAGGTACTGTTTATATTCAATTTTAAATTAAAAAATTTACAATGATTTCTTACCGCACGATGTACTATGAACGGATGTGATTGGAGGATCCCAATATCCTCACAAATAGGATATGGCGAGGATCCTCCTATATTCCTATGCGCCACACATTCCCTCAATGTGTCTTTTGGAATTGTCGGTATGAAATTGTACACACGAATACAGAAGGTAATCTTTTGTTTGTCCATTTTCCCCAATATCCAATTTATTTTAGGAATTGTTATTGGCATTCCAAAAATCTCACTCTACATTCCAAAATTTCTATACTTAGAAAGAAAAATACACTTGTGAGGAGTGTAGCATGAAATTTTTGAAATACCAATAACACTTTCCTTTATTTTATTTTATCTTGTATGATGATGCACTAGGTTAAGGAAAGTGATATCCGCATACCATTTTTCTTCTCTTGCACACGTCTAACCATATCTGGTCTTGAACAAATGAATCAAAGAAAAATCGAAGCAAGGCGGAAATCATTTCCCTCAGGCAAACATGGCATGCTTAGCTCATTTCACACAAGGGATGCCCAAAAAACAAGTTAGTTTCTTTTGCCTATTTGTTTCATATACAAATCAATATAAAAAGTAGTTAGAAGCTACAGTGCGATGTTCGGCAGAAACATGAACTAATTGACAATAAGTAGATCAACAAATTAGAGTTTCGTGTGTAATTAACTAAATTTTAGGACCATAAAGTAAACGCGAGGCTAATTTAATGGCGACTTCCTGAGGAACAAGCTGGCCGAAGTGTTCATGCTTGTTGCTGCTGCATCTTGGGATTAATCCTCGCATTTTGCCTATTTGTTTCCATTATGTGATGATTCTTTAGCCTTAGTTCAGCTTGGAAGGTAGGGCTCAAAGTTAGTGTTCGATATGCAAGAGTTCTTATGTCTTCGCGTGAACAATCTCGGGAAATGCGGACCAGCTCCCACAGGGCACCGCTAGTGATCATGTCTTTAGCATTCACTTCTGAAAAAGAAGACAGTGTGAGCAAACATTCTAGCAGAAGATTAGCTTGTATCATAATGTTTCGAGGAAGAGGACAGCTTACCATGTTGAGCTAAATGACAGAGTGCAAGTTCAATATGGCGTTTGATTGGCGCGGCTTCATTGTTAGCATTCTGTACAATCCACGCAAGTGCGCCATCTTCAATCAGATGAGACTTTCCAGTCTTGGTACCTACAATGAAATAAAGGTAATAACCACTTTAACTCTGTCCAAATGATGATTAAACTATATATGCTTTCATGAATTCTTCATAAAACAATTTTTTATCAACAGAAGCAAACAAATTTATTAAGTAATGGACGGTGATAACGAGTGATTAAATTCATAAGCATGGACTACTTTTTTCAGACACACAGGAAGAACATTTCCATGAACCAATGCCTCTTTACCTTGTGTAGATGCTCTAGACTCGCATTTTGCGAAGTTCGCTATTCCTCGAGCAACTTGTGCAAGAACATCAGGATGTCCACATCTGACCATTCCTAACAACGCCTTGATGCCACCACCACCCCTTATCTTATTCTGTAATTTATCTGAGCAATGCAATTTCATTTTTGTCAGTAACAGCAGAGTAGACTAACTTAAATTAGCTTTTATTTCATGACACCACTACAAGCACTTCAAGAAGGAATTAATGCAATTGTAAAACTGCATTTCCGAACTCGTTACATGGTTTACAACTATCGCAACAGATGGACTGGCCACAATCCAAAAACCTAGTTTGGATGAAGTTTGATGTAATTATAACCTCTTAAAAGTTAAGCGTTATTAGTAACAGCATATGGAAAAACCTTAACTACTACATCAATCTTTTCGTGAGTCGTTTACTTCTTTGAGTTAATCTGACTAACCCAACCACAAGCACTTAAATGAATTATGACCCCTCAATATGAGAATACAAGATAGCTTTACCATGGTGTCCAGCAAGTATAGACTAACTTTGATCTAGAGTAAGGTTACTAATTGCAGCTACAGAAGAACATTAAATTCGAAAATCGATTTCATGAGCTTTCATTTCAGGTAAAGATGATTACTTTTAGGATATCGTTAAGGAATTGAACACAAAGACGTCAGAAAGTTTACCATTTCCGCATAGATTAGCAATGGCTCCAGCAACCATTCGAAGAGTTTGGGGATCTTCACCGTTGGCTGCTGTCATAGATAACAAACTAATTCCCCCTTGAGTCATAATCAGCTCCTGGTTGATTTCTGATTTAAAACACCAATGAAGAATTACAGCGCAAATTAGAGACCGGTGATTTTCTCAGCCAATATTGTAACATATTCTAATAATTATGAATTTGTGGACTCTAAGTTTATACCATTCATAGCTAGATTTGCGATTGCACCAGCTGCAACTCTATGTATGGTTTCATCCTCAGAGTTTTTAAGTAGCATCAACAAGGATGTAAGACCACCAGCTTCTACGATTTTCTCCTGATTTGCTTCTGAATATTAGGAGGAGAGTACGTGTTATTGCTTGCTGATGCAGTGAGTTCTAAAAATATTGATATTAAGTGCTAATATCAGATATCGAGGTACAGCTTTATTCAACATGGCATTCCTAACCCACGTCAATCATATACAAGTAAGACATGACCAAAAAAATAAAGGAAAGAAATTGTATACATTAAGCAATTAGTGCAAAAACAGAAAACAGAATGTACGTAATCAAATGTGACCGCGTGATACCATCTCATCCCAGCTTTTCACATCACCATATTGGTAGCTTACCATACTTGTCTTTTATATTAACATAAGAGGATCTTCTATCCATACTGAACTGAAAATTGGATTCCAGATACAACCAATAATTCCTTTATATCATTTTAAGCATTTTTTATTCTTTTCAATTCTCTCTTCTAAAACCGACTGCCGTTTAATACAATCATATCATGAAGTATCGCCTAATTTCCTTTGCACTTGCCATTGATTCCAAACAAACCACAACAAACAACAGAAACTAAAAGAAAAAAGAAAGCAGCTCTATACCCTCAATATGAAGCATTGTTCCGCAGCTTACACCCAACTATATTTTCCAAGAATAAGCAAATAATTATAAAATGAAGATCGTGAATGATTTGAAAAACTAACAATTATGTGATATTACAGTATCGGTGTAAGGAAGACAAAAAAGGTCTGACCTTCAGCAGCAAGATTTGCTACAACTTTAACAGCATGAATCCTCACATCATTATCTTCTGCTTCAAGCAATGACAAGATCTTTTGCAATCCCACTGATAATATTTCCTTTTGTTAGTAATAAACAAGAGGAATGATTGTTTCACTTTAAAAAAATCTACCATGAAGTGAGAATAAGTTAGCACAGGAACAGTTAGTAACCTTGCTCAAAGAGTTTTGCTATCGAGGCCTTCTCCTCATTTCCTGAATCTTTAAGCTGCGGTTTCCTAACTTGAGTCATAAGGGACTCAAGAGCACCAATTTTTTCAGCCCCACTCCTGTCTAGTTGTTGACTTGTCTACAAAAGCATATCCGTTAAACGCAGGTTTTAAGACTATGCGGACACATGACTTGCCTGAAACGGGCCCATTTAATGCATAATGAAATAGACATATATAAAATATAAATGAGCAGAGGGATCCATTGGGCCTCCTCATATGCCGAGAGTTTTAGTTCAGTTTCCAAAATTAACAGCTCTCAGCTTCACTATCTTTGTGAGAGTTGACGTCTCAAAATTTCAGATTTGTGTTATACGCAAACGTGAATGTCTAGGAATATCAATATGGAGCATGTTGACCAATTCATTATGGTTATGTTCAATTTGCGAAGCAAATAGAAATGATTCCAACAAAATACTTATAAATTATACATGCAGCATACCTCATCAGCTTCAAAACTTCGTTGCAACAACTGACTGTGTAGTCTTGCTATTTCTCCTTCAAGTTTCTCCTTCTGATGTTCCTCATCTTCCAACATCTTACGAAGCTTTAAGATCTCTGACTTTCCAGCTGCCTAGAACATCAACATAATTTCTCTATGTAACACCAAAAAGATGTCAAAGACTGACTATATGAGATAAAATTATTATGTCAGTTATAACGCACCTCTGACCTTTTCCACTGAGTCAATTGACTTTTAAGATTATGCACTTCCTCCTCAACAGCCTTCCTGAGCATAGTCTCTTTCTGGAGCAACTTTGTTAGGTCATCAATTTCCTCAACATGCAGCCTGCAACTCTATGTACAATAAAACTGTTAATACTCTTCAACAAATTGAACACAACCATTTCAGGGAGTTTAATAAAGGTATGAGTAATAAAACCCTAAATCAATTACTAAAACTGACACGTAAATTCATTGATACAGTAATGCTAGGGACTTCAATTAAAATCTGAAAATAAATAAGTTCTGAGTCAATGAACATTAATAACTAGGAACTGGATACTAATTTTTCCTTAATTATTGACAAGGGAATAGCGCAAACATATATATCATTGTTTCCTAGAGTTTAGACCATAGTACCTCTTTGCTTGATGCCACGTTAAAGCCATCATCCTCATGTCCATTTGTGATTTTTTCACTACCATGCTTTCTCTGAGTCATCACCAACTGCTCTTCGAGCTTCTTTATTGATTCCATATAGTCTTTCTGATATTTCAATCTTTCCTTCTACAAGGAGGAAAACATGGATTTAAATAAGCATTAACATTCTTTGGGGAAAAAATGAGCATACGTGCGCTCATATGTACACTCAAGGCTGGCAGACAATAAAATAAATTCTTTCTTTTTTGCTTAGCAAACAAATATCATCAGCTATATTTTCATTTGCAATAACAAGCCACAGTACTTTTAATAAAATCAGTAACTAAAACATGTTAAAGTGTATACTGTATGAAAGGTTACTAGCTTTCCAAATATCAGAAAAAAATTTACCTCCAGCACGTCTGTGTAGTTCCTTTCAACCTCTGAGATCCGATTTTGTGCTTCTATGCTTATTCTTTCCATCTCATCCTCAAATACCTTCTGCTGCCTCTCATGTTCTGCAATGATTTTGTCTAGTTGTATATCTAGCCTCCTGGCCAAACTTTTGTAGTCGAATTCTTCCTTCAATTTCAACATATTTTCCACTTTCATAGCCTAAGTAGGAAAAAGGTTTCAGCATCTTCCAAATAACAGATATGCATAACACGTATATTTTGCGCAAAGTATTTCCATGTTTTTTCCACTGTCAGTGATATTTGATCATACAGATAAAACCAACTATTTGGCAGAAATTTACGTTTAGAGAGGCAAATTCAAAGTATAAAGAAACAAGGAAGTGACTTTGAAACCCACCCGCTGTCCAAACATAATAGTGCTAGCTGTCTCTCCTCGATGACGTGGGGATGGACCAATAGTAACAACCAGTGAAGTTCTTGCTGTGCCTGTTGGAATTTACAGTTGTCAAGCATATTATGTTGTAATGTGATATACTGCAATCCTGCTTCATGTAAGAGTTTTTTTCTGTATTTGTTATGTCAAAAAGCAGCATAGAATAATGCAACGCTTCACTTATTATTTATTTATCCATCTTTGACAGACATGTGTCTTTTAATCCATTCTGTATCCTGACTCCTGTTTATCTATTCGAAACAGAACTGAACTATTTGAGAAGGTCAAGAATCATACTCAAAGATACCAATGCAAAAAATCTAAACGCATACACATGAATGAAGATAGCATATTCTAATAAAATTTAATACAAAACAGAGTCAAAACTGTGTAACAAGAAAAAGCTAAATGCAAATTTTAATGCATCTTACCTCCAAATGAATCACGAAGCAATCTTGTGAGTTTGGAATCTCGAACTGGAACATGTGAACTATTCTCTGCCAATGCATTAATGCACTTTCCCAGTGCACTTAAGGAGAGATTGATTGATTTGGCTTCTTCTAGTGTATGTCCTTCACTTCCTGCCATATGAAAGATTAACAAAAAAACCAATATCAGACCTGCCCCCATAAACAAAATGTGTACGATAGAGAAAATGAGTATGTAACACAGCTGCACCTCTACCACAATACGCCAATCCCATCCCCAGCCATTCCTAAACAATGGCTGGTTTACAAACCCTAAGCTTATGGCAAGAAAGGATTAAATTTTCTGTGATAATTATTTCAGGATTTAAAACGAGGTTTATCTGTCCTCAAGAACAAAATACTGTATTAGGGAAAAAAAAAAGGTACAGTCAGTCAATCATAAGTAGGGAAACAGTTACTATCTCCTTCCATTCAAATCATGCCCATACCTGATTTGTCAATGCGCTCTGAACCAGCAAGATCCACTACAACCAGCTTGCTCTTTCGAACAACAGGAGCCTTTAGACTTTTTACCATGTGAGAATTGTTCCCATTTTGGCTTGAAAGAGCTGAATCTTTTCCCTTCACAGACTTCTTGACGTTTACCTGTACCATTTGATACCCCTTTCTTTTAGATCATAACCAATTATAATGCTACAACATAACCAATTATAAAATCTAGAATTCCATTCACTTTCACAGACATAAGCATAGCAAAACAGGAAAAACAAATGACTGACCATCAGAATAGCATGACTGCGGGAAGATTCAGTATTCAATTTTGTATTTGTAGCAAAGCGGTGCGCTTCCCCTAATCTTAGTAGTTCTACGAAACTCTGCTGGTCCCTGATTTCGACTAAGCTAGCCCCTGGTACTGAGACATCACCGGTCTTTGGGTCTTCCACTATAGAAATGTTGTCATTAGCAGGATCAAGTAGGTCCTGTATGGTTTCCATGTAAAGCTGTATACAAGCAAAAAGAACGAGTATGAGAAATCTTTAAACCAACAATACTGCTGATATATAAGCCTATTACTAACACCAGATTCAGAAGGAAAACTACCTGCAAATACGAGACTGACAAAGAATCGGACTCCAGAGATACATCTGCTAAAATATCCTCCATAGCACGAACCATTATTCCACGAGCAGCAGTGTCTTCCTCTCCAAGTTGTCCAAGAGTATATGTTTTCCCTGTACCGGTCTGACCATATGCCATGACCGTTCCATTGTAACCTTCCAAAACACTCTGGTGAAGGAAATTACAAGATGGCATATCACTTGAAGGAACTTCCACAAAACATCAAAGCAAAACAAGAGCTTCTTACTAGTATGAATAGGTATATTCATAAATATAGATATATAAGCATAGAAACATATATATGCTTATACACTCCCAACATATGAAAGGACTGCTATGATATAAAGTATTTATTGCCTAACACCTGCAAAAAAAAATTTGGGACAATAGTTGTAACACCACAAGTCCTCACCCAAATGTCTGGAAAGGTAATTGGATTATGAAGACCTGCATACATACCCAAATTTCCCCAATTGACATTTAGAGCACAACTTTCCCCCTTTAGTCCTTAGCTGGTGTCCTTGGCAGAAGAGAAACCAGTTACATACTGAGACAAGGCAACCTCAATCCCACACACAACGACTGACTCATGTGCAGTCTAAAGCCTTGAAAGCTTCAAACCCACATGAACCAATAGGCTCAGTTCCCTCTGATACCATGTGTGACAACATGAATACGCACCCAAAAGAGATAGCCACAAGTTAGGAATTGTTTTCTAGACCTACACATATGCCCATGATCTCCCCAAAACTTAAGAGACTCTTCAATTATACATTTATGCACACAGTCAAGTGGTGCTTGGGTGTTAGCTTTTAGTTTCTCCGATAATAATTTGGTTATTCTTTAAGTAAACAAATTCAAGTATCATCCTCGTACAAACACAAGCATGCCTAAACAAACAAAAAACAAGCTTATGTAAATTCTTAACTCCAGTATCTAAGGCTTGGGTAATATACTTTCCAACATAATATTCGGTAACGATAAATTCTACCAGCTACAAGTAGAAGTATAACATTCTTAACTATAAAAGCATAATATTTTCTCTCAAAATATTTAGTAGCTACAGACAACTAAAAGTAGATATTTTTTACAGTATGATTCAAACATAAGTAGATGAAGAAGAAAAACTTTCAGTAAGATCAATGTTACAGATTTTGTGGACCCTTGGAACAGACTAAATGCCTAGCAAAAGTTTTCCCAATATTAAAATTTTAGCATAATAAACTTCCCAAAGCACAGTTTAAAAGGGGAAAAATTGAGCTTTAAATGAGTACAAGAAGGAAACTAATGCTTAACGCATATGCACCTCAAGAACAGGCTTTGCCACTACTTCATAAACACGTTTTTGGGATGCAAACTCTGTGAGCACTTCATCGAACTCATAAGTATCTGTGTCCCAATTGTTTTTCCGAAGTTTCAACCTTTTTAGCTGAAATAGAGCAAAACAGATTTAATATCCGTGACCATAAAACAACGGTAAGATAGTAAGCTGTAACTCAATTAAAAATAAGCAGGATACCTCTGGTTGCAACTCTACACAGTCCGCAAAATCAGCATCTGCAACCATTTCCTCCGCATTACGTGGTCGCAATCTTAGAGCTACTCGAACTCTTCCAAGAACTATACCCAATAAAACAAGGTCAAACGAAGTAATGAACAACTACGAATTAAGAATCTAAAATTCCTAAATTATGGGAAAGGAAAAGGAATTCATACTAGGAACCTCTTTTGATGAACAAAAATGACAATTTGGGAAAAGTAATGCTAGTGGCGATGTAAGAGTTTACTGATTAGCATTTACACTAACAAAAGAAAAGGACAATTAATTTTCACTAACCTAGCATTCGAAATGAATTTACAACTCAATTACAAAGGACCATAAAAGGGCTTGAGCTTTCCACACATAAATCATGCATAAAACAAAATCCCCTTCAATAACTCCATAATTTATTTCTCATTTTTTTTTTAATCACCAAAGTATTTCTGTATACTTGATTCATGTGGAGTACCACAATTCATTAAAAAACAACCAAATGCTCCCTAATTTGAAAAGAATTTGGCTCCAAAAAATTGGAAAAAGTTATCCATCCTCAGAAAGTGAAATTTGAATTCGGCAACTTTATTTGTTTAACTTTGTGGAAGTACTTTTCTTGCTTGTATAGCTATGCAAATACAGATTGCCAGTATCAGTACATAATTAAATCACATATTTTTCACACACAATACCTATCACAACTAGGAAAATATAAAACAAGAAATAAGGTCCTCAATATCTCAAACCACAAAATCCAGCAGAACCCAAAATTCCTCACCTCCTGTATTATCATTCTTAGAAGCAGCAGCTCCAGTAGCGCCACCGCCGCCAGTGGAGCCGGTGCTGTTCCGGCGTGGCCCAGAAGCAGGCAAAGACTTGGATTTGACAGAAGACTTGGGATTGGAATTTACAGAGAGAGGCCTATCCACCCTCAAAGCACCCCTCTGACTGCCATATCGGTAATTATACCCGCCCGACGCCGCCATTGCAATTCAAACCAGCAATGAAGCTTGAAAAATGGATCTTTCAGGTCACAAAGGGGCAGGGAAATAACACACGAAAAGGTGCTATCTTTGAAATCCCAGGAGAAAACCCAGAAAAACCAAAGTGGCAGTTTTCAAAATTTGAACAATTCCCAGAAAAACCCAGGTGCAAGGTTTTCAAATTTGAAAGGTTCCCAGAAAACCCCAGGTTGGTTTTCAAATTTGAAGAAGGCAGTTTGTGTGGGAGATTAGTAGTAGTTTTAGTGAGTGCTTTTTCAAGTGGTACTGGAGCTAAATCGTGTGGGATGCGAGTCAGAAAAATCCGGGGTTTTTTAATCTTTCGCTTTGCTTTTTTGCTTCCTCAATCGAAGCGGACAGAGGGACACTGGGGGAGAGAGGGAGAGAGTACGTACTTGACCTCGTTTACTTGTGAATAAAGTGAGAGTGATGGCCCCGTCACATCTTCTGGTGGGCCTAACATTTTGGTCATTACGTTTGGGATTTAAGGCGGAAAGTACGACAATACCCTTCCTTTTGTTTTGTACAAGTTGCAACAACTGCCAACCACAATGAATTGACTAAACTGACCCCACTAACACCCACCAGATTTCATATTGGTTTGCTACTGAAGCGATTTTATAAAAAGTAGGTATCAAAAAAAGTTGAGCTTAAAAAGTATTTGGTAAACACTTAAAAATAGTTTATTTTCACAGTTTTGGGTAATAAAAGGCTGAAAATGTGAAGTAGCAAAAATGAGTTTTAAAAAAAACTGAAAACGTGAAGCAACATAAATGTTGGATTATATGTTGAATGTTGGATTATGATTTCTTGTTAAACGTTAGATTATATGTTTAAAATAAAGTTTATAAATATTTTTCTTTTAAAAATAAAGTATATTTAGTCATTCACCTTTGTTTGTTAAGAAAATTAAATTAATGGCACATCTAGTATTATAGCCTTTTTAGTTATTTCACACAATCACAGCTGTTTTACATAAAAGTTTATCAAACACTATAATACTGTTTTTTCCCAAAAGCACTTTTACAAAAAAGTTTACCAAACACTATGCTTTAGGCTTTATTTCACAGCTGTTTATTCTCATAGCACAGCATAAGCAATTTTTTTTCTTCATATGATCATTTTGCTTGTTGGGAATATTTTATGTATTCTAAACTCATCTAAACTACATATTAATAAAAAAAAATTATTAACTAAAAGATAATGAAAAGACATTTTTTTATCTTCTATCACAACAGAAAAAGTTAAAAACATTAACGTAATTTTACAAAACAAAATTTTGGTTGTTTTTTGTTTAAACCTCACCTACAAGTGATTTTATCATCTCTAATTTAAAAAATAAAAATAAAAAACAAACATCTCTCGCTCTCTCCTCACTCTCACGTTCTTTCTCACTCTCTTCCTCTCTCCTTCAATTTTTAAAACAAGGCTTAAATATTAGCATGGTCATTGTGTTTTAGTCATTGAGTCAATTTAGTCCATGTGTTTTCAATTTGACCAATTTGGTTCTTGTGTTTATCTCTGCTAGCCAATTAAGGGCATTTCCATCTAATTTCTATAAAAAAAATAATTATAAATTATTATAAACATTTGTAAAATTATAATTTATTTGATTTAAAAATATATAGTTACAATGAAATAAAATAAAAAATAAAAAGAAAAATTATTCTCTTCCCAACTCTCCGACCTCCTCCTTAACATACCCCTCTCTTTTCCATGTCACAACCTTAATCATTTTTTAGATTGGAAGTTTTATTTCTTATATGTGTTATTTCTCATTGATTTACATTTTCTATAAAGAGAAAGGGTAATTATTTCTTGATAGGAGCATATTTATGCGCCTTAGTTAGCTAGTTCTTATGCATTTTTGTTATGTTTTCTTCGTTAAAGTAGTCTTTTAAGCTACTTTCATGTGTTTTCAGGTTTAAAGGACATATTACATGAAATGATGCAATTTGGAGCTTTTGGAGCAAAACTGAGCTGGAATGTGGTGTATGCAAATGGAGCACGAGGAATGGACGTCCAAAACTAAACCCTAAGCCGTGGCCCCCCCATTTGATTATGCACCCTAATTCCTCTCCAAAACCGTGCAGCCACCATCACAGATTATTCCCCATTAATTCCCTTAATTTCCCATCAATCCGTGCATTTTATTCACACCCTAATTCCTCCTTATTAACCCTAACACTAATCAACCACCATCCCATTTTTAATTCTTATTCCCTAAGCCATTATCTCCCATTTCCTCTCCATAAACCATGCAATTCTACTAACCCTAAATAAAATATTCTAAGCCATTCATTCCATTACCTTTCATCCCATTATTCCTTCCCACTAAACCATGCATCCACCATTCCATTTCATCTCCATAATCCATGCACTTCCACATATATACCTACCATTCACACTTAAATGCCCATTATCCCATTTTTTTTAGCTTTTAATTCCACACCATCCCATTATCCTTTACATCCACTAAACCATGCATCCACATTCACCTAAATAAACCCTAAATTACATCCACTAAACCATCCATCCACCATAATTCCCACCATCCACACCTTTTCCCTTCCACCAAATACCTTAAACAAACATCCATTAACACCCATTCTCTTCCTATAAATACCCATTCATTCCATTCACCAAATCATCTCATTTTCCATTGTAATACACAAACACTTCCCCTTCTCCATCTTCTCCATTTCCACTCCATTCCACACTTCCATCCCCCCAACCAACTTATCCTTAAACCTTGTGCTACAACAACGAGGAAGAGAAGAGTGCCTAAACGTTCATACAATTCAAGTATGAGTTGTTGGAATGTTTAGGTGTTTCTTTGATTTCAAAGTTTCATTTTAATTCTCTTTGTTTTGTACGTATAAGGAATGGAAGAGAAGAGTGCTTAAACGTTCATACAATTCAAGTTTTGAGTTGTTGGAATGTTTAGGTGTTTCTTTGATTTCAAAGTTATGAGGAACTAAACCCCCTTTAGCTAGGGGGTGATTCGAAACTATGTTTATGTTTGTAATATGATTTGATTACTTTTAATTACGTTTCATAAGTTGTGAATTCAATTTGTTTAACTGTTTAATTGATAACCTATTTATGTATGTTTATTAAGCATGAACGCTTAATTTTCATGCATGAATTTGACGCTAGAATATAAGTGAGTTTCACGTAATAGTTATGAACTTATATTCACAAGTAGTGGAGGTTGCTTATAAACAATCGTGTTAAACATATTCTTGGCATAAGTTTCATGCAATCATAGTAACGAATGCCTCGTCAACACTTATAGTTTTCATGATGCTTAATGATTCTTGCTTGTATCTCTATTATGCAATTCATGTAGGGAACTTGTGAGGAATGCTTTGGATTGTCGTATGCAATCATCCAATTCATTAATTTAAGGAAAACTTGACGGTTAATTTAAGCGGACCTAATTAACCTGGGGCGTTGAGAATTCATGGTTTATTGAAAAGCAATTAGACATCGTTTTGTATGCAAGTATAACATATGTGGAGATGAACCCCTTAGCTAGCTTCCCATCCATTCATTTCCGTCAAATCCATATTTACAATTTGTTTTATTTCCAAGTTTCCATTTTTAGTTTAAAGTCGTCCAAATCCAATCCCCCTTTACTTTATTGTTCAATTTAGTTAGAAATCAATTTAGTTTGTGTTTTTAAAGCATTTTGAGTCTTTTGGTTTGTCTTAGTGTTTTAACGTTTAGTTTCACATTCTTTGAGTCTAGTTTAGTGTTTTATCTTGTTTTTACGTTTTTGAGTCAGTTTCCAAGGTTTTAGCAATCCCTCCTAATCCCCGGTCCAGAACGATCCCTACTTACATACTTACTACAATTGACGAAAAGAGGGTTTAATTTGTGCGCGTATAATTCTCGCATCATTTCTCATATAATTTTTCTTATGAATTTTTTAAAAGAGATTAAATGAAATGTTCTTAATTGGCCAACAGAGACAAACACGAGAACTAAATTAGCCAAATCGAAAACGTGATGACTAAATTGGCCATATGGCTATAAAACAGGGATCATTTTTACATTTAAGCATAAAAACAAAAGTAAAAAATTTCACTCACACTTCGTGTGACGGGCATATATAGTAAGGTAATTAAGAGAAGGCTACATGTCAACCTTTCGTTTAATTTCCGATTATACCATTTTTGCCTTTTTTTTTTTTAATAAATCATATTATCTACACTACCAGGATGGGAGAGTCACTTAAGTCTCACAATGAGCTAGCAATAATATAGTTCAAATTCGCCTTTAGCGAAAATCGAACATAATACCTCTCACTTATAAGTGAAGAGGCATACCATTTTCACATTAAAATAAAGGTCGTAATGCCAAAGGATTACTATTGCATGGCATAGAGGGGCAAGGCATAAGTGTTTATACTGTAAAATCTATTTTCAACTAGTACATACCATGATACGTTCGAAAGGCCCTTCTAATAAGTAGAATGTATATAACCTTGTTTTGATTTAGTTCAGTACATAATGAACTAACAATCATAGAATCGACTCAATCATCATATCATGGATTATAAGTTCATAGCTCTAGCTCATTGCTATTTTGAGCAGAACAAATATTTTGCACATGAAAAAAAATACAAATTACTTGACATTTGATAAAATAAGAAGAAGCTTACAACCAATCTCTTTTCAACTTGTCAGACGTGTGGGCCAATGTTATAGTGATAATTAATTAAGGGAATTATTATTAGTACTCCAAAAATCTCATTCTACACTCCAAACTTTCTATATTAGGAAAGAAAAATACACTTATAAGGAGTGTAGAATGAGATTTTTGGAGTGCCAATAACATTTCCCTTAATTAAATGGCTAACTATATTTTTACACTATTAACCCTCCTCCATTAGTTTCCATTAGTTTAATTGTCAATTAAGCTTATTATCTTTTGCTTGCAAGAAGTGACATCAATCACAATGGATTACCAAATGCTATACCAATAAATAATAATTTTCTTAAGGATAACGTTAACTTTTTAGATATATAGATTGATTTGAATATTTTTGCCAAATTGCATTTATGGCTTTCATTCAACCAACAAATAAGTGAATGGCAATTAATTTGATATTTAGTGGACAAATGGGACATGAGAAATGCTACTCAGACTCTGAGTGAAATTCTTCATGGACTCTCTCTAAGTGAAACTCTTCATAGACTTCCTGCTATAGAAACCCAGAGCACACTTGTTTGTAAAGGCTTTCTTCATTAACTTTCTTGACAAGATAATTACAAGTGTATTTCAGTATATATAGCTTATGAGCTGTTACAAGAAAAAGACAGTTGAGCCCCTAAACATTCTAACTAATTACAATTCAAGACTAACAAAC